TTGTAAAATGTTGTACCAGTATATATCAAGATTAATATTTGATTTGATACAGACAGAGGAGATGTAGGTCTATAAGGAAGGGACCTTGTTCTAAATAAAAGAAATGTGTTTTTAAAGTCACTGTGTAATGTTTAGATTATATCTCTATAAGTACACAGTTTCAGTACTCTGTATCAATGAGTACCCAAACTGAAGTACTTGTGCTTATACTTTTAAATAAAAACTGATTTTAGGACTGCCCTGCTTCAAGGAATGCTAGGCCTTATAATTAAACTTCTGATGCCCCGCCCACTTTTGGAACTTCTGTATTAATTTGATATTTTTCTAACATAAAAATAAATTTACATTATAACTTTATGAATATGTACTTATATAATATAAAATGCTATGCTGTAACAAAAATATTTTTTGCAAAAACATAAAAGCTAATTGTTATAATATAAAAACAAGCTTTTACTATAACACAATAAATTTCTGTTTTATTTTTGTTAGCAGCAACACAATACTGTTCTTTTGTCACAAAGCTAACTGTGTTCAAACACGTTGCTTAAACTATTTTTATAAGTTTAGAAGTTTTTTTCTCAAGTTGTAAACYTATCCTGTTCTTTAAAAGAAGAAATCGTGCATGTTTATAAATGGAGATATTGTTTGCTGTATGTTTTTAAATGAAATTTAGATGAGTGAAAGAAATACAATAGTTGCYTAAAATTCAAACTATTGCACACCATTTTTCTTAATTTTCTTACTTTGTGTTTAAAACATAATTAACTCTAATAACATAAGAAGGTGGACACKTAAATGTACAAAAAGTTGTCATTTTGTATACAATTTTAAAAAAATCATGATTAAAAAATATATAAATTTACTGATCAGTTGCAACACATCAAATATAGAAACTGTAACAAACAGAAAAATGCGTATTTGAATTAAATTCACACATATTATAAACGAAGTGAAGCAGAGGTGACAAAAAGCAGCATTTCACAGAAACTAAAATAATCTGTATTKAAGAAACTGTCCTGAAAAGCAGAGTCAGTTGGTCGTGATCTTTCAAGTGGCTCTGTTATAAAAACCAAATCATTTGCTTTGCATCCTGGTTTGKTTTGTACTGTGGTTTGGAGCACAAAGTAATAAACGCTGACAATAAAACCGCTCGTAAACCTCTCATTTATTCCACCTTCTTTGAGGCCTAGCTGCATCCTTGTTGTATGTTTTTATCAGGAAGAMGCTGGCAGTTCGCCTTGTGGAGCGTTACGTCTAGGGTTGACTTGCTTCCCTTATGGGAAGCTGTTAGCACTCAGTTAAAGACGATAGCTGCTGTTGACACGTTTTTATGGCTTTTACGTGTTTGAAAAGAACTGACGGGTGAAATTAAATAACAGCAGCGAGGCCTCACGCTCTCTCKTGGCTCACACAGGTCGGTTTTGGCYTGGAGCAYGTGTCCAGGGAGCAGATCCAGGAGGTGGAGGAAGACCTGGACGAGCTTTACGACAGCCTGGAGATGTACAACCCCAGCGACAGTGGGCCGGAGATGGAGGAGACCGACAGCATCCTCAGCACACCCAAACCCAAGCTGAAGTAAGAGCAGATTTTGTATCCCCAACCTTTCCTCCTCCCATCAYTGTCATCATTCGCTCCGGAAGATTTGCAGCCAAGTTCGCACCTTGTCTAACACGTCTTACGAGGTGGTAAATGTGTTAAATGAAAAATGTCCTCAGAAAACCCAGCGAGAACATTACAGRCCCAGCTTCTCAAACATCTCCAGCTCTTTTCACGACTGCAGCTCATGTGTGAAAACGACCCGGTACACTGGTCCTACTGTTTCTTGATGCTCTGATGAACACTMAGGACTCCTCTGTTCAGAGCGCCCTCTTTTGGTCAAAATGTCTCCCTGCAGTCAGAGATGAAAAGCTTGAAGTGAGCCTGAAATGTACTTTAAAAAACAGCTCGTAAAACCTATCCCTAACCTARCCTGTCTGTGACCTATCAAACTGAGGCTTGAGTCAGATTTGATTCCTGTATTTTAAAGCTACATTTTGATACCTGGATCATCCTGATATYGCAAGTGGTTCCAGAGATATGCCTTGATTTGTCTTMCTAATCAGGATAATTCCTATATTTGGTYTGAATCCTATTTTTAGATTATTCTAATGAAGAGTTTTGGATGTCGTTTTAAAGAAGAAACCTCAAACAATACTTGGATATTAAGATTTACCAGCTGGGAAGAAAAAAAACATTTTCTAGCTCACAGCAAAAAGGACAAAAAAATTTAAGGCTTTTCTGCTCAGAATCATGTTTTTGTTGCTAAAGTTAAACACGAGCTTCAAAAAAATTCTTTAAGATAAAATTTCAGATATTTAATTTAAACAACCTTTAGATAAGGCATTTATTAATTATATTTGGGCAAAATGTAATTGTTGCAAATATTTTAACCACACTGAAGCTGCCTGTTTCTCAACATACCACTTTGTGACTCARTCCTCCGTTCGATGGGATGGGTCACATATCGTTAGCCTAATAGCATAATTGCCTAAGTCATATTTGACCAAAATTRACTTAGGCAATTATGCTATTAGGCTAACGATATTTGTTATGATAAACTTGAGTCACGTGATTGGAATACATCGGGCTGGCTTTAGTCTCTGTAGGTAAACAAATGTGGTGGAATGGGACAAGAGAAGAATCCCGTACACGACGTTTTAGTGGAAAAGAGAAAGTTTATCTAAGCGACAATCGAGAATAAATATCAGGGATCAGATTCAAACACGTGCGGCTTTTGCAAAACTTSTACTACTCCTCTACCTTTTTATCTATTTAACCTATAGAATAAATCTGGACACAGGTATATACCAATACTTGGTATTATATCTGACTTCTTGATCCCATAGATGGCTCTATCAAGCTCATTGCCATTGCTGACTTATTCTTACCTTATTCTGATCTTATTCTCACTTTGTTTCTGTAGGTAAACAAACTGTCAAAATCTGTTTACAAATTCTGCTCACAAAGTTTTCAATTAAGGGGGRAAAAACTCATTTTGTTTCTTGTATAATTAGTTTTTAGACGAGTCTAAAAGCTACTTTGCAACAGTAGCTTTAAGACTTTTTGCAGTTTACAACAAATAAACTTGCATGTCTTACGCAGGAGTGTTATACGAATGTGTTTTTGCATTTGTGCAAAAGTGTTGTAAGTACAAGTTAAGTCTGATTTGCGCTGTGTTCGTTCTCATTTCATTAGAAATATTACATTATTCCTTCAGAAAGTGGAAGTGCTAAAGCTTGCTGCCCTGCTGCTAATTGTGCTTGTAAAAAAGCATTCACTGCCTACAGTAACAGTGAGAAGTCTGGACACACTTTCTCATTCAATGTTATGAGAAGGTGTATCCAAATTTTGAATGTTTGTGTAGATAAGTGCATGTAGAAAATGTWCAACACTGTAAAGGTTTATAAAGATCTAAACTCATGCTTTTACCTTCCTGCTGCCTTTGGGTGGAATTGAGCACTTCCTACTCTCAACTCACAACCATGCTTTATTCTGTATGTTAGCGTTCACACAGTGTCACAGTGCTTATGTTGAATGAAGTGGAGCCTTACTAATTAATAAGACCAGTAAGAACTTCTTTTGTATTAAAACAGTGAAAAAAACCCACAAAACTTTGTCCTTAAAGCWACAAAAACCTTTCATTCATCCATTATCTATACCCGTTTCTTCCTTTTTTAGGGTCACGGGGGTCACTGGTGCCCATATCCAGCAGTCAAAGTGCAAGGGGCGGGGTACACCCTGGATAGGTCACAAGTCCTGCAAAACCTTTCAATTGAGATGAAAAAAAAATAATATAACTGAAACAAAATTGCCAAATATCAACTATTTTTATCTTTTTCTTATACACAACTAGTGGAGATAAATAACAAAAACTAGTTCAATGATTACAACAGTCCAKAAGAAAATGACTTACTGCACAGGGAATTTAAAGTAAGTAACTGCAAAGCTTTCCACAACACTTTGTACTCAGTTGTTTTGTCTTTACAAACCCTCCTTAAATCTATGGCTGAGCGATGGCAGTCTGTTCACTCTGAGCCATTTCAAACCTCATTTTGATCATTTGGCTTCTTCTCAAAGAGTGGTTTGTTTACGCTTTATTTTTTCACTACGTGCCAGAGTCTKCACTGCTCACATAACGGAGTAGATACAAGGCTGTGTAGCTCATTTAGGCTGGTTTTATACTTGACAGAGTTGATGCATTAAAATGGGCATGAAAGTGCCTATGATCACGTTGACCCCATCGATGTGCGTTTCACCTTATTTCCACTGGTTTTATAGAATACTGCTATGCCACCTTTTTTTGAGAAAATGAGCTGAAACTTGATATGTATCTACTTATTTTAAGTGGTTATACGTAAATCCAAGAGATTTTAAAGTGTTTATAAGGCATATACTCGTGTGTCTCGTAGACCACAYTATTGGTAGAGGGTTTTTCACATTTTTCTATGTGCTACAGGTAATGGTAATGTTGGCAAACAAAAGAAGYTCCTGATGTTTTTCTTCCTGTTTTGGCTTCTGGTTGAAGGTACAATGTGAAATTGACTTTTTTATTTATTTACTTTTTCTGTTTAGGCCGTTCTTCGAGGGGATGTCTCAGTCCAGCTCGCAGACAGAGATCGCCAGCCTGAACAGCAAAGGCAGTTTGGGTCGAGATACTTTCAGTCCGGTGAGCACACAGCAGCTACACCGTAGTCGAGATTTATTGTTGGGTTGAGACAAACAGAGTTGTCTCTGAATATCTTTCCTTTCAGTTTCACAAATGTCCAWGAAAAAGCCCATGAAAGGATGTTGAACTTTACAGCTAGACTCCAGTAAAGATCTGTAAATGCAGAAAACTGGTGCTGGTGTGAAGCAGTTAAACCCACAAAAACAGCATTTATCCTCTGAAACAAATGTACACTACTTTTAATTCACTCAGACTTAACAAAAACTCAATTTACAAARTGTCTCACACTTATGGTTTACAAGGTAAACAGTAAAATTGTGCTGTTTACACTGGCGAGAAAACTAGAAACTCCGAAAATCAAAGAGCATCGGATGAAGCTAAAAGCATGAAAACGTGACGTGACTTTGCATTGATGTGGGAGAAAAAAATCCATCATCTAAAGCTGCAGAGAAGCCAATTTCAAATGCAAATGATTGAGAAAACCTTTGTGCCAACATTTGTTTAATGGAGCAGAAATCCAATAACTCTTTCTCAGTCACCATCTGCTGAATAAAAAGTGTTTAATCTCCTCGAGTTGAAAGAATCTCTTTGCATGTCTTTGTTGCATTCATGCAGTTACGAGTTCCTCCTTTTATAACGATGCTGAAATAAGCCTTTAGCTGTGTGACTGCTGTTGGCATAATGTAGAAGTCAAAAGAATAAAAAAGCAGCTTTCAGTTACAGAAATGGGGTTAGTTTAGGTTTATTTGGGTAAATACTTTGCATTAACACTTGTCACTCCTCTCTGTTTTTTCTGTTGGATGATAATGTTTCTTTCCTGAAGCACAGTTCTGGAGCTGCATAAAGCCTGCTGTAGGGCTAGTTTAATGACTCATTAATCCAGCTGACTGGTCCTTCCTGGATTTTTCCAGCAGGGGGAGCAGCCTCCTTTAGAGAAGATGAAACCGTCCCGCAGCCGCAACCTGGATGAGATCTCGTCTGAGACYGATACACTGGTACATTTTTCTTCTTTCCTCTGAGAGTCAGTGCAGYGATTAATTAATTACTTCTCATCACTTTGAGGGGGATTTGCTGCCATATTTGAGAGATTTAAAGACGGATTTAGATGAATTGTCTGTAAAGATGGTGCYACGGTTGTCTGTTAGAAGTCTGTGTTTTGGACCGTGTTTGTAGGAGCTGACAGATCAGGAGCTGTTCAGTGAGGTGGGTCCCTGCATCACGGTGTCCGTGGCTGAGAAACCCCGTACACCTCTGAAGAACACCAAAAACGAAGTCCAACCCCTGGCGTCTCCGAGGTAACAAACAAGATAAAAAAAACACTTGTAAATAAAAGTATATTTATATTCTATCAAAGCTGCTTTCACATCAACTCTCAATCTCCTGGCCATGCATTATATATCTTGTGGGTGTACATACATTCACCGGCCACTTTATTAGGTACACCACGCTAGTAACGGGTTGGACCCCCTTTTGCCTTCAGAACTGCCTCAATTCTTGGTGGCATAGATTCAACAAGGTGCTGGAAGCATTCCTCAGAGATTTTGGTCCATATTGACATGATGGCATCACACAGTTGCCGCAGATTTGTCGGCTGC